CGTGCCTTTGATGGCAAAGTACCGAAGCGTGAGGGCCTCGACGGCACTCTGCAGCGAGCTACGCTCCGCGACGTACGCCAGGCGCGCCTTGCGCTTCGAGAGGCGGTCGGCGAGGAGCTGTCGCTCGCGAGCTGCGCTGCGGGTCGTGGCGGATGGTGTTTTCATTGGAAAGACAAAGCGGAAATGAAAAGGATGAATCAAAGTCTGGCGTTGGACACAGTGGCCAGACCAAATCGTCCCTAGTACCTTGTGTAAACGCGGAGCCGAACAATTTCTGTGAGCTGCACCGTCCCACGGCCCCAGGTTCGCGCCATCTGAACCTCGCTGTGGACGATTTCCCAGTGATCGTAGAAGTCGTTACATTGTATTCGCAGGCGACACATATGGAATATGCAACACAACTCGCACTCTAATTTGTTTGCACGCTCGGCGAAGGGGGTAGGGGACGAAGCCAGTTGACATTATTACTGGTACCTGATATCTTAACCTTATGGGAATCACAATCTGCTCTGCCTATACTGGTACACAGCTAACTGGTACAGTGACGTAACCAAGGCCATCGATACGACGAATGGATAAGATCAGTGGGATAATTCGGTGCTATTATGCGTGAAGATAATGCTCGCGATCCCCGACACTAAAGCGCACCTCGGTACCCCGGATTCGCATTTTTCGCGGCACCGAGGGCAAAAGCGCGCTTTAGTGAGCCAAGGTCAGTAACTTGCATATTAACCCTTGCAGTAGCCCAGCGATCACATCCAAGAGTGGTACTGTATCAGAAACAGCTGGAGGCCTGCTTGCTCGTCTCGGAAAAGGAGCGTGGAAGAGTTGCACCCACGTTTTTACCACCGTTCGGCAACGACAGCACTGGCACAGTACTGGCATTACAGTTGCAGCGTTCATAGTCACGTCAATTTGCATTGAGCCGCACGCGACGCTCCTTGAACCGGATCTTGTAGCCGAGCGTAGGGACGGGCGAATGGAGTAGTAGCATACACACCACTTGCTCGCTACTACAGGCTCACGGCTTGCCTGGATGATACAATCATTGCCAAGAGCCCTACTAGTACACTGCTACACCCATGTCTATGGTGGGCTCGTCCGGGTACGATGCAAGCGCATGGGTTTGGTCGACCGCGTTCGCATCCTACGGTCATGTGGCTCGCAGCCTCTTGCGAGAAGTTACTTGCGAATCACCAATGCCACTTGAACCTAATGATCGATACCATTCATGCGCGTCGGTCCCTCTGGTACCGGTAGCTATCACTGCAGCGAACTAGATGCAACGTCCCACGGATTGACTCCGCACTAGAACACGAGAACAGTTTACTTCTCCTACTCTTTATACAGCTGTTGCAGAGAGCGCGATAGAATTACATCTGAAACCAGTGGCCCTAATCGATCCGGCATCCTCGTGTCGACGACGGCCATTATTAACTATTAGTCGTTGAAGGTCCCTTGCATTGTCCGTGCGGTCACTAAGCGCGACAAATGGCGGTATTTTGGACGCTGGAAATGGGCTCGATACGGCGCGCAGGGAGTTCTTCTTATAGTCAACTTGCCGAACGTGGCAACTCTATTCCTTTCTGTCTCAGGTGAGCAGAGTTAGAGCGTGGTGGGCCGCGCATCATCGTTCGTCCGAGTTGTAAAAACCGTTAGTAGATGTCGAAGGATACACTTGATCCGGCCTAGTACGCGGCAGATACTCGACGTCGCGCAGCTCTTCAATTTCGTGGCTCGCAAAGCTAGGGCACCAAAGTCGAGTAGTCGGTCGGCGAGGACGACCTGTATCTGGTCAGCGACATGGATTCTTGAATCAAGAGTATTAGTCGAGGTTGCTGCCTGGAGCGCCGGCTCGACAAGGTGGCCTCTCTGGTCGGGCCATCTGCCTGTTGGTAGGGGCGACCACGGTGCAAATCGAAAAGTCATGTATTTCAGCTGCAACGCCGCCACGGTTCGCGTAGGGACAAAGACTTGCAATGCGTTCTACGCTGTATTTGTACGACCTGTGAGAGACTTGCACGGAGCATCGTTCGAAACCTAGCCCTACATGGGATTCGTGAGGATGGTACGCGGCGGTATGACCTGAACTAACCAAACAAACTTTTTAGCTCGTGTGTACGCTGCTTGATTAATGCGGTGTAAAGTAGCGTATATTTTGCCGTTTAGGACTGGCGACCGTCGCACAAAAAGTCATTGAGCTTTTGGGAGGGTTCAAATGAACGATCACTCATCCCACTTCAATCGAGCTCTGTAACAATCCGAATTGAACCAGACAGTTCTTCAACAAGTGACTCGTCTCGGGATCTCCTGCGGTAACCAAGAACGACACGCGTTGCGAGCCAGCGGTACGCGCAGGTTCAAGCTAGGTGGCTTTTTCAAACAGACCGTTTACACGAAGATGATTCGGTAGTGCGCGAGGCGAATATGGGATGTTGGGAGAACTGGAGGACTGAAAATCAGTTGCGTCGGCGCATCTGAGTTGTCTCATTGGCACGAGATAGCTTGCCCCGCCTACTAGTACGGTGCGTGACCAGTCAGTAAATTGATCATGAGGACACCCTGCCAACTTGACCCTGCACATGGGCCGACGCGTCACCCGATGTGCGATAGCCACGAATGTCTTGGTCGCACAGTTTTGTTCGCTGCTGACCGGGTCGTGCGACTTGGAACTCGGGTGCGTGGAGCAACCGTGCCGCACGCTTCTCGATTCACTTAAACATTTCACCGAGGCGCGAGACTGAACCCTACCCCCAGACGTACAGTCCTGACTGTCTAAAGGCAACCCATGAAATTTTATTGCCCACATAAAGGCAACTTTGGACATGCCATGTCAATCATGTCAACATCACCGAAACGTGCATGTTTTCGATTCCGAATGGCCTGAAATCGGTCTATACCACAGCATATTGTACAGGGGCGTAACGGCTTGGCGCCATTTTACGCCGGATCGCTACCGACGCGGTACTCGCACAGCCACCGAGGCAGAGGGCGTCTAGAACGCCTCGTACCACGAGGACGTGATGAATCTTAAAAGATCAATAAAGACATTCTGGCTCACTGCACGCGAAAGAGGCTTGGAGTTCGAGCTACCCAACGTCTCCAACTACGTCGACTTGCGGAAGAGTACCATGGAGTTGTGGAACTTCTCTATTCCCGGGAGCTGGGGCTGCGGACTGCTACGCAAAAGGCTTCTTCCAGCTCTAGCTCATAATCCACGAGAACATGCACTTGTATTTGCTCTCCCTCCTTCCTGTACTCGGGAACAATGCGCGTCAAAGGGAACGTGTGGTAGCGAGCTTTGCTTCAGTAATGTCCGTCTGGTCGACTTCTATCTCGTCCTTGGCATTACACACTGACAGGACGGTCAGAGAAAAAACCTCGCGCAAGTGATAATTTGCTAAAGGCAAGAAAAATGGGCCTTGCCTTTAGACAGGTTATACTGTACCCGATGTTGGTGGTGCAAGAGATTTGAATGGGATTATTAGTCTATCCTCTCAGCAGGACATCCCAGATATGCACCACGACCACACAAAAAACGGGCCCATCACAAAATCACTAGATTGACATAATTCGGAAAGCTGTCGGGCGCGCCAGCACGCGCTCCAAGTGTTTGAAGTAGTCGGTTGCGATCCATGCAGCACGCTGCAGTAAGAACCAGCTTATGTGCTGCTCGAGGAACGCTGTGTCGGCAGCCTGCATTGCGTACTCGACGACTTCGCGATCGTATAGGTCTGGGTACAGCACCTTGACATAGTCAAGCACGGACTCAAACGCCGCTCGGTGCTCGAGACAGTTGACGGTGCGCAGCAAGCGCGAGTTGACCGAGATACTGAACAAACAACGCATGCTACCATTCGAAGCTCTCTTCTAATTTGCGGGGACGAGGGTGGGCTTCGTCACTTGATATCGTGCGGTAGGCAATGATAATGCGGTCGGGCTCGTCAAACCGCTTATGTAAAGCTCGAGAGCAACGATCGTGCACCACGCTCGGCGAGTAAAATGGGTGTTTTGCGCGCGCAGCAAGTCGAAACGATCTTTTCACGAAGGGGCGTATCTTGCGAGGCCGTCGTAGAGCTAGCATTCTAGATTTCGACGCCTACTAAGCAACCTGCCTTCCCTCATGGCAGTAATGAAGGCATTACGCCCTTTGCCCCCTGAGCAAGCTCGCCATTGTGAAACGTCTCCTGTACATAGCTACAACGCTCGGTCGACGTCACTTCTTTACGCAGCACCTACGTCCAAACGCACACCCTGCGACCCTGCGCCACGGTATCAAGAACACGAACCTTCATGCTACTGTTACACTCAGAGTCCGGGACCGGAAAGGCTTCGGTCGCCACTGCTCGGTTGACTGCCCATAACGCCTTGGCGACGACCTCTTGGCTGGCCTGGATCACTTTTTGCAACACGAGCTTGCGCCCACGGACGCCCCACTCGACCTTGATCGAGTCTTCGTACACATACGGAAAGAGGCGCGGGCTCAGCTGCACCGACGTGCCGTGGTAGAGCTGTTTGGAAATCCAGTCGTAGCCAAGTCGGCGCGTCGACGGCTCAGCGACCAGCGTCACATCCAACACCGCGCCGCGCGACAAGTACCCGGGGAGCCGCTACATAGTCCACGAGTGTTAGGTACACATCAAGTCGCACGATCGGAGACACACCTGTGGTGCTTCCATGGTTTGAAACCACTGGCGCAATCGCTGCACAATGGCATTTGTCTTGGTCGCCTCTGTGCGCAGCGCGCAGTTCTCGAGCAGGCTCGCATCCGAGGACTCGCGCAGAGCGACGACAATGTCGTGCCAAGGGAGTAGCGTGCCTTTGATGGCAAAGTACCGAAGCGTGAGGGCCTCGACGGCACTCTGCAGCGAGCTACGCTCCGCGACGTACGCCAGGCGCGCCTTGCGCTTCGAGAGGCGGTCGGCGAGGAGCTGTCGCTCGCGAGCTGCGCTGCGGGTCGTGGCGGATGGTGTTTTCATTGGAAAGACAAAGCGATAATGAAGCCCGACTCGCTGGCTATCGTTGTGGGTTTACGGGACGGATAGCTGTTGACCTTTACGAATACAGGAATCCTATACTTTCTTCGCTTCGTTGGGAAGACTTGATGAATAGAAGCATCTCGTCATCATATAGTAGCACTCGAGGCCACAACGCTGAAGAATTGCTTGCTCGAATCGGAACGAAACATTGGCCGGCTTGGCGCGACGGGATTAGCCCCAGTTTTTGTGGCCTTACCACTGGATGATATTTCTTGGCGGTCCACTTCACGGAAATAGTACCACGACGTCCACCATAACGTGTGCCAGCTTGTGCCATTGGACAGCGTCAAGTCGAACGCAGGGACATCAAATCCTGGTACTCCTCGCACACGGGCGATCTGGTCGTGCCTCGTGCCTCCTTGTGACGACCATGGACCGAGCTCGCCGACGGGTTCTCGTTGCAGCAAGTGGTGCGGTCATACTTGAAGCATCCCTTCCTACGGCAAGTATCTATCACAAATGTGATTGAGCGAGATAGGACTTTGATGGGTGGTGTGTGATGTAATCCTAAGGTTAGTGCGTGTTTAGTCGCATGTGTAGTCGAGTATCCCATCAACGAGCTCGTCCGCGCCACTTATCGTCTTCCTCCCCACTCTCGGCTTGTTGCAGTAGTAGCTTGAATGAAAAAACAGACCGAGTACCTTCAAGCTCATAATGCAAAACGTCGCACATGTGTCATGTAGTTTGGCAAGAACGATCAATAACAGGATTCCAGTATATGCCTGCGTGTTTGTGTTCGAGTCTTGCTTGAAACACCTCGGCTTTGCCGCGTTACTTGGCCGAAGACGGGGTGCGACGGATCGATCCGATGGCCGCTTGATAGCCCTCGCGTGATCGCATTCGTCGCTCTCACATTGGTGCCAGATCTTGGTCGTTTCAGCTGCCATGTCATTTTTAGCTTTTCCATGGGGTCGGGGCCGTCGTCCGAGAACCAAAAGGCCATCGTGCGCTATGCCAAGCGCGACTGCAGCGGCAGCGTCGACTACACCAACGTCATCTCGACCATGTCGGATGGAAGCGTGCTCAGCGCGTGCACGGCGGGGTATTACACGGGCAAAATCACACCGCCGCCCTCCCAGTACGCGCCCGACACGATTTACGCGACCATCTCGATCCCCGACATGGGCTCCACGGAAGAGGTCGTCGACGGCCTCTGCGTCGCCGTGTCGCCGTCGGCCGACATTTACCTCAAGGCATCCTGCACGGCGCAGGACTTTGCCTACTACGGCAACGCCAACTGCACCGACGTCCTCGCGCTGGATGCAACGGCGGTGAGCATCATCTGTGAGACGCCCAACCCCATCTCGTGGCCGGCCACCTCGACGCTCATCGGGCAGACGTACGCGCAAGCCAACTGCTCGGGCGAGACACTGTACGCAGTCAATGTGGGCAGCGGCGGCATTCCATACGACGTCATCTTGCCGCACCGGGCGTCGAACCGGCGGTGCACCGACGGCCTCATCTACAACACGACCGTGTACCTCGAGACCTTTGGCATCAATGCGACGTACATGACGATCTCGCGGTCCTACATGACCGAAGTCGCGCGCGACCAGACGTGCGTCTTCACGGGCGACAAGTTCCTTCGAGCGTCGTGTGCGAATGCGACGTTCGCCTACTACAGCGACAGCGCGTGTTCGGACTTAGTCGACGTCCTTGAAGTCGGCGCCGTCTCGACCGCGTGCGGCATTGTCTTCAACAATGTCACCGTGCCCAAGACGACGTCACTTGTCATCACGTCGGGCGGCTCGGGTGGTGCGATAGCACTCATGCTCTTTTGCGTCCTCGTTGGTGGCCTTGTTCTGGGCTATCTCGCGTCGCGCCGGGACCAAATCATGGCGGCCGACCCGATGAAGAGGCAGCTCAAGGCCAGTAAAGTGAACAAGTCGGAAGAGGATAGCGGTGCCGCCGACGATGATGTCTAGATATCCTAAAGATGTCACGTTTTTTTCAACTCTAGCATGTTGGTTGGCACTGCGAGCGGGTAAAGATGCGACGCTGCGCGCCGAGATGGATTAGGGTTAGGGTAGGAGTCGGGTAGTTAAAATCGCGGCTAAGTATAGCCACAGTCGTGCACACGCAGAAAAGCCGGCAAGATGAGTGTCGTGCGGTTCGACCACGCCGATTGTTCGGGCGCGGTCCTCTATGTGAGCAGTGCCAACCCGTGGGTGCTCTCAACCAACTGCACCGACGGGTTGGTGGCCAATGCTTCGTCGACGCTCGACCGCTACTTGCCCAATTTACAGTACATGACAGTGCGCCACTCGGACGCAAGCGTCGAGGTCGTCGTTAGTGGGCTCTGCGTCGGCACGGCGCCGGCGTCCAGTCCCCGCTACGTCTACGCCGACTGCCACCGCAGCAAGTTTGCCGCCTTCAACGACAGCAACTGCAGCATTCCCACAGGCATGCACAGCGCTGTCCACATAGCGTGTGACGTTCCATACCGCGTCGCCGCGCCGTTGGAATCGGTTGTCGATTTGAGTGCTGCGCTCTACGAAAACCCCGACTGTACTGGCGCCGTCGTGTGGTCCACGACCAACAGCTCAAGCGCCGGCGCCGCCGAAACGTGCTTGAACGGGTTTCTCGCGAGCCCGTCGGACGAACGCCTTCTCTATCAAGGGCATCAGCGCTACATGACGTTGCTGCAGTGGACCAATACGGAGATGCACGTCCTCGACGGACTGTGCGCCCCGATTTCAACGACTGAGACAACCCCGTACCTCCGCGTTGATTGTGAGAGTCTTTCGTTTGGCTACTTTTCCGATGGCAACTGCACGACACCGATGAGCAATGTGTGGACTGCGGCGACGGCGACCTCTGCCATCGCTTGCTGGTACGAGTCCAGCGTTGTGAACAACCCGGACGCAGCACTCGTCCTCTACGTGACACCCGACTGTGCCAACGGTATTGTGTACTCAACGTCGATGGTATGGGAAGCAGGCAACGGCACCACCGCCTCGACATATATGGCGCCGGGTGTCTGTGCTACTGGGTTTGCCGCCGATATCTCAGTCGCCACCGACGCGTACTTGCCGAACGTGTTATACATGACGATCGACCACGCGGAGGCAGGGTTCGCCGAAGTTGTGGTCGATAGCGTCTGCGTCCCGACGTCAAATAGCGAGTCAACCTATCTGCTGGCCGATTGTTCGACGGGACAATTCAGCTACTTTTCTGACGATGCGTGCGTCCACGCCATCCATACGGGCGCCGAGAAGGCCACCGTAGTCTGCTCGGTCCTTCACCCAACCTCTGGCGTCTGGCCAACGTTTATCCATACGCTACAAGTCTTTGGCGGCCTCTCGATCGACTGCAATGAAAGCGCGAGTGTCACCTATGCCATGGCCAACAGCCCGGACGGCCTCCAGCTGGACATCCCCGTCTCGAGTCGCCACCGGCGCCTTGTGTGATGACGGCACCTTGACCAACGACGTGCTATCATCGACACAGTTTGTACTCAACGAAACCTACATGGTGCTCCAGCACGCGACGTTTACCGAAGCC